TGGGGAGCTGTTACTAACCTAATCTAGTCCAAATGCTCTAGTAATGACAACTGTAGATCTGTGATGGTATTCAAAATGGAATTTAGATTTTAAAAAACATTTCCAACATAATGGATAGTTATCAATAAAGTAAATGGCTGATTAGCGACAAGTGAAAATATTAGTCTTCTTTGAGCAGAAATGTTAAAAATTCTTAATGTCATTAATCTTAAATATAAGTACTTAACAGATGATGAGTTATAAAATTATTTCCCAGCATCACCAGCAAGTAAGTACTGGTAGGCGGGGAGAAGACTATTTCCTCTGCTTTGGATACAGCACAGCCAAGGTGAAGTTGATACATCTATACTTCTGAAACTAAAACCTATAGAAATACTAATAATAATGCCAGGTTCTCTGGAAAGCTCAAACCCTCTTCTTTAAACACTATGTGTCAGAAATAATTAAAAGCATCACAAAGGAAGGCAAGGATCCAGATTTGGGGTAAATTACATTCTTTGCAAGAGGCAGCCATGGCTTTTCACACCTGGAACAGTACCTAACACGGAAAACGCTTAACACTTATACAAAGATAAAAAGTCAGAAATGTCTGTTTAATAAAAAGTCTTCCCAAGATATATCATGCTAAGAAAAGCCCAGTCTTTTTAGAGGAACTCATTCTTTGACTTAATAACAAAATCTACACTGAAATTTAAAAAGCACATTTGAGTAAACAAAGTACCATGCAACAGTTTTGGGAGTTACACAAACTATAACAAAGGCAAACAAGAGATATTTCAGAGGTTTATAGTAAAAATGCAAAAAGGGGCCAAGAATCTGCTCTTTATGACCATTATTACTCTGGACAGAAAGTCATAGGTACATGCGTTGCACCTACTGCCTGTTACCAGCACTGTCAATACAACTTAATTCCAAGGAAAACAGTAATTACACAAATCCCATTTTAACCCAGGTACCGAATTCCCCTTTATTATATAATGTGGTACTTTTAATCGCTAGGTAGAAGTGAGTTGGTTTCTTTGATAACTTTAAAGTATGTTGATTACTAGATGTGCCCCAATTGAGAAGGATGAAAATTATTGGTTGGAAATCCTTAAGAGAAATTACTGGAGTTTACAAAAGCAGTTTGAGGTAATGGTCCTAATACATTTAGACTCAAACCTGCCCGAAGGCTGAAAGTTATCCAGAGAGGGGCAGAAAGATTCACTTAATAAGGAAAAGCCTTACTTCCCTTAAACCAAGTTCAGCCTGGCAAGTAAGTCACCAACACTAGCTCCCAGCTATAGATACTCGCAGTCTAGTGTTTGTGAGGAATGACTCTGATCTTCCCTGTGATGCCACAGCTCACTGGCCTTTTCACTCTGTTCGCTTCCAGTTACCTAACAGGTATTCCAGGGCATCCTTTTTCTCTCTGGTACAAGAGAGGCGCCAAAATGTGATATGACCTCTTATAATCTGAACACATTGAATGGGTCTTACTTCACCTCCCAGTCCAAACCTAAGAGCTGTTTAGCAGTCTTGAAAAGCCAACAAGCGCTTTTAATGTCTCTGAGGGAGAAAATAAACATGCAACTTCAACCCAAACAGGAACAACTCTACTGTATGGATAGCCTATGGAAAGAGTTCATTCCACCATGAACAGGCTCACAGAAGATCACACGATGTTTGTTTCATGTTCACATACAGACTGAGTTGGTACATAGCTGACCACACCCAACCCCCCAGGCTCCTGAGAATGCTAGTAAACAATGTAATGAAAATAAAATAGTCTTTCAATAAAGGTACAAATTACAAAATTGACTTCTTTATCATTACTTTTGGTGGTAACCCTCAGAAATGATAGTGCTGCATAGTAAAAGGAACCTGTATTATTTGCTACTACTGAGAGCTGCTATATGTGTCTTACATATCACATATCACTTAATAGCCACAACTCTATTAGGCAGCTACTGATAAGGAAACAGACTCAAAGAAATTAATTAACCTGCCCATGGTCACACAACTTGCCTCAGAGACCATTTTTAATTATACATTATGCATAATGAAACTACAAATACATGTTTAAGAGGAGAATATAATCTGGAACATTTAAATTGAAAAGAAAATATGTTCACTGCATTGATATTGAAAAAAAAGAAACAGAAAACCCCACATACGCTCCAACAAGTTTTAGGGTTCCTGCCAAAAAAAAAAAAAAGGAAACTGATTCCAACTAGTCTATACTTTCATCTATATTTAGAATATGAGCTGCGCGAGTATGTAATGAATGGGTATGTGTGTATGTGTGTGTGTGTGTGTGTGTGTGTAATACGTACATTATTCAAAAGCACCCAAAAATGTGAAAAGTTTGTTCCAATCATTCTCTATTTTGTCTACTCTAAGAATTCTTTGCAATATGCTTATGTAAATACTGATTTTAGCTGCTGTTCTCATTCCTCAAATCTGCTTTTAAACGGATTGGAAAAGTGACAGACCTAAGCAGACATCTTTGCAACACAGAACCAGAGAGATGTAAACAAATGAAACCAGATCAAAAACACAGGCCTCTCCTTTAAACCTTTTAACTTATCACTACTGATAAGTCAAAAGAAATTAAACAACAATACACTGGCCTTGGCTAAGAGTGTGTAAGTGTGTGTGTGGACATGTGTATACTTAGATGGATATCTATTTTATTAATATATACAGTAGACAGTATTGAATCTTTTTCACTAAAAGTTCTATATAAAAAGTAATAAATGCAGGAAGTTTCTTAAACTAGAGTGATGCTGTAAAATGGGAGAGTGCTGAAGAAAACAGTTCCAGGTTGTTAAACCCAACAGGTCAGTGTCTTCCGTTTTCTTATGCCAGAATTCAAATGTGGTTCAACTGCATTAATAGCTCATTGACTCAGCGGGCAATTTACCTCCATCCACAGTCCAAAGAGATGCTGAGGAGGATTTAAGATAGAGGTGAAAAATTACCATTCCACTTACCTGACACCAAGCTTTCTTTACAGACACAATTAAAAAGCTATCGTGACGATACAAACCACAAAACACTGCACAAAGAGTATACCGTCAGACCTACAGCCTGTTAACACATATCTTCCACTAGAAAGTATGAAACTCACCAGCGTCGAAGTTAGTACCTGAAATTGAGTATTACATGTGGTAATGTTGAAAGGAAATTTGAAATAGAAGATATTTTTATGAGGATTTAGCAACAATATCAATAGATTTGCACTCTGATAACAGAACAATCACATTATTGGAAACACATTCTCTGTAGGGCATTTTTGTCATACTTGAGAGCTGAACACACATCTGGTATGTATCTTCTCCATGTAAGCTAATAATATGACAGATTTTTATAAAAGCGAAGTAATTCTACAAGCAATTTTACCAAAATAAGAACAAACTTTTACGTATTATGAAACAACTGAAGGCACAAAAATCATTTTAGGTTTGTAATTAAACATTCTTTACTCACAGGAATGTACTGTTAAAGAATAAAAGTAAACACTTCCAGAACTAGAGGGAAAAAATGCAGAATGAAAATCCCAATGTTGCCAGAAGTGGCTTTGTTATTTCAAAGCAGTTATACTGACAGTAAAAGAAAATACTAGAATTCTCAGTCTAAAAGTGATCGAGGGCTAAGGTGGTAGTTGTTGGCCTTATTTCTGCTGAAGAAAGCAAAGTGGAAGAATTTAGCTTTTGGATGGAGCACAGACGTTGGCAGCCTCCAGATTTCACTTCCAGCATCTCAACCCACATCCAGCCTGGTGTGAAGAGATGGCAGAAGGCACTGCGTCTGTTCTTTCAACTGCTAATCCTGCGTGTCTCCTGCTTGTTTCTGTAAGCATGAATATTCATCGACAAGAAGCAGGAGCAAGTATAAGTGCTAACTGTACTAAGTAGGTTCCAAATCATCTTTATCCTTGTTATTCTCATTTTATAGACTAGGATAAAAAAAGTCACATCTAGAAAATGCCACTTCTGCCAAACTTGGAAAAATCTCATTCAATGAAATGATGCTGGTTTTCATATATTTAATGTAAATGTGTCAAGAAAACTGTGTGGGCAGAAGAAAATCAGAGTAATTGTTAGCATGCTAGGGGGAAAAAAGTTAAAAGCAACTAAACTAAATCAGTAATTATTTTCTACTTAATTTTATTTTCAGGATTTCATTATTTTCTCAGAAAATGCTAAACAGGTATTACAGTATCACCGTTCATCATTCAGGTACAAATCAAGTTCCTTTTAATATGACAATACACTTTTCTCTGGCATATTATCCTGATGCATAAACAATGTTTATCTGCATCCTTTGTCAATTATGTACTGAAAAAGACTATTCAATCCAAAAAGGACAATTTTTCTATAAATAAACATAATGAAGTGATAATTTATCAGTGAATGAAAAATACTGCGATGATACCCACAGGACGGAGGATAAGGTCCAGAAATAGAATAATACACCTTCATTTGCTAAAATGAGGAGTTTAATGACTGTTGAAGGAAAACTCAAAGGTCTCCTACCCAGATACTGAGGGCAAATATCCATTAAAACATCACCACTCATCAAAAAATTTAAAATGCAATCCATTGTATATGGAGGGAAGTTCTTCAAGGAATTTTGAAAGTGAATAAATATGTCAGAACATAATGTGAATTCCATCCTCCACATGACACCCCCCCCACACACACACACACAAATTATGGAGAAAAGTGGCAGGAGCCAGTCAGGTTTCCTGTGTCCCTTTGCACTGTCAGGCAAGGTGTAAATGTCTGAATGTTGGGAACCAAATGTACACCTCAGACTGACTTATGAACCTTAGGGCCCATCAGGTTGTCTTTTAAACACAAAACAATTGCTGGTAAAAGGACAGAAATCAGATTGCTCTTTAAGACTGAGAGGAAATTTCTTAGATTTTTTTTTTCATATTCTAACAAGCATTCGTTATAGAAGTAAATCAATGCCAATGCAAGGCACATATGTGGAAGTTGAGATAGACTTACAAAGTAGCCTGTTCCCAAGCTGGAAGGAGCTGAACTCTGTAATAAAGCATAAAGACAAAGTGGAAAATCAGCAATGGTTTTTTAACACGTTCCAATCCACACAGCTCATTACCGCCCTTTGCAGGCTTTTCATCACTACATCACATCACCAGTGTGTGCTGCCCCTTGTCATCTGCTACTGATACAAACACCGTGTTGCTTAATTTTCCCCTTTACATCTCTCAACAACTCAGAGATGCTAACGTGCTATTTACTGAATTCCAAGCTTCTGCGGTGGACGTAATTGCCAATTTATTTGACAGGCAGCTGGGTAATGAATTAATGATGGCATTTCGCCCTGCGCTGAGACTAAACAGACACGCATCAGCCTGCCTCCCTGACTTGCTGACATTCAATGCCCTGGTCTCAAGCTACTCAGCTTTGTGGCCGCAAAGGGGCAGGCAAGAGGAAAAAGCCCAGACTGACTTAAAAATAAAAAGCCCAGTGGGTTTGGATGACTTTTCCAGTGTATGACCTACTTGCCAGTTTATTCCCTAAAGGCACCAGTTAGTACACACACAGTATTTTTCAAAAATGAGACATTTTGTAAACATAATTAGTAGACTAAAATGCAAAGAATGTGCAGCCAAAGGGAAGCAGTGAAAAGCACCGTTTTTTCTGAAGGGTTTAGTCGTAAGAATTATCATTTTGGCTGCCATAGTTTTGACACACGGGGAAATAAAAGAAGCAGTGATTCTCAAAATAAATAAATAAATAAAAGGCATCACTTGTTTGGGGTAAGAAATCAAAAAGAGATCACTGTGTATGTTTTGAACTTCTCTCTGAGTTTTTTTTTTTTTTTTTTGTGGTTGCTCTTGTTTGTATGCTGTGTCTTTCTGATAAAACCTCTCTTACAAATTCTTTAATTTGCAGCATTTGCTATCTGATTAAGAGGGGCCCTAAATAAGCTTGAAATGAAAATAAAGCCGAGGCTGTCAGTCCGCAGGTCTCTGCTGAGCTTCCTTGCAGCAGCCAGGCCCTCTCCCTGAGGAGCCTGAGTCAGCTGATGCACCTTCCCCGGAGCCTGGCCACAGCCGCCTCCACCTGATGCAACAGTTACTCAGTCCCCTCCTAGCTCTGTCACCTGCAGGCCCTGCTGCCTGGTCTGTAAACTGCAGGTAGCCAGGACCGTCTGGCTCATTCAGCATCACTTCCTGAGAACTTGGCACACAGGGTGCATTTAATAAGTTTATGTTGAATTAATGTATAAATAAACAAAATAACGGATTAAATGGGGCAAACAGCTCAGGAGAATGACACCTCCAGAAATACAGTAGATTGATCTTTTTGATTCTGAACTGTTTGAGAGAGAAATACAGTGTGTTAGTACATCTCCACCAAACAAGGACAGGGGGAGGCTGTGGGGCAATCCTAAATCCAGTCCTCAAAGGTAAAGTTTCTTCATGTTTCCGACAAGCTCAAGCAAATAAAGCACAATTGGTGTGTGATCTTGCAGAATGGACTTGGTTTTAAAAATTCCTACTGCATGGAGGAAGACCCCCAGTAGTCATGGCGACAGCTTCTCATATCCGTGATTAACCACGTGACAGCATCACCTGTTTTCAGCACCCACACCCGCCATGAGGCAGAAGAAGGCAAAAGCCAGGTTAGGTCTCTACCAGCCTGGAGTCAGGCCCCTGGGAAGTAAACTCATTTTTAGGATGAATTACTCAGAGAGACCATGGGATTTGTTTATTTTGAGCCCCCACCCCCGTTTCCTTGCAAATATCTTTTATCCCAGAAGAACCCCTTCACAATCACCTCCATACACCCCCCACACACAGATCATCTTATTGTATACCAAAGAAAATGCCATCCATCAGGGCCGGGAAAGCTCTGTTATGCTCATTTTGCATATATATTGTACATTACTCAGGGAGCTGGGTGGAGAAGAGGGCTTTGTTGTGCATATTTGTTCTGGCTATTGTTTATGCAGGTCTGACTGAATGAGGGAACAGTGGGTATCATTTCAATTTCTGATGTCAACATCAAATTACTTATTTAATTTCATGCCTGGCGAAGCATTGTATAGCTACACGCAGAATCATTTCACTTCATTTGTTATGCTGTGCTTTCGTGGCGATTGGCTTGCCTTCCAACTGACAGCTTTAATTACGACATGAATTTGATTGCACTGCTGAGGAATTAACATAATGCAACAAAGCATTTAAGCACCCTGCCTTATAACCCCCCTCCCACACACATGGGCACACACAAACACAGACACAGGAAGGGACTCATACTAGACCCTCATCTACATTAAAGGTCCACTGGAATTTGTTTTTGCATTCGCAAGAAAGCACACAGAACCTTAGAATCAGAGGCTATCGACATTTGCCAGCCCACGGTACTCAACCTTTTTCATAATAGGAAACAAGACTTGCGGCATTAAGTTGTGATTTCTAGGCCTGGTAGAAAACTTTGCAGAAAAATTCCCTTCTAACCTATTTTGCCAAATGTCTGTGACATTGATATTTTCTTCCTTCTCCATCTTTTTTTTTTTTTTTTGCTACTTTTCAGCTCCCTTCATTCATAACTGTACAATTTGAACAGAAGAAACATTTATGTAATAAACAGGCCTTCTTTGTACAGTCTTGCGACCCCAAGCTTCTGGCTACAGCCTTGTATTCAGCAGAATACTACCCGTAGTCATGGACAGGGCTCCACTATCAAAGTACAGGTAACTAAAGTTTCCAGCAACAGGAAAGAAGTCACAGTTTGACTGATGCTCATAACAGGCATCTTATATCCCTGACGTCTTGTTATGCAAAAGGCTCAGAAAACAGTCCCCATCATACATGACTATTCTATGTCTGCATCTAAAAATAGCTATAAACATTTGGTAATTTTAATAATTTTACAAGACAGAAATTACATGAATATCCCTAAACCACAAGCAACAACTGATTATGCTACAAAAATGGAATAAATGTTTAGAAATGGCCTTTTTATTCCTTGAAATGTGTAATTATTCATTTATAGATGTGTATTTGGGAACTGATCCTGTTTTCTCAGAGTATAAGGGAGGGCAGAAACACCAGGAGGTAAACATCTAGGAGAGCAGACAGATGGTGCTGCCACAGCAAATTGTTGCTTTTTTAAAATTAATTTACTTATTTTCATTTTACTTGACAGGCAAAGAGAGAGGGAGAGAAAGTGACAGAGATCTTCCATAGGCTGGTTCACTCCCCAAATACCTACAACTGCCAAGGTTAGGCTGGGCCAAAGCAAGGAGCCCAGAACTCAGTCTGTATCTCCCACATGGGTGGCAGGGACCCAAATAACTGAGTCATCATCTGCTGCCTCCCATGGCATGCATTAGTAGGAAGCTAGATCAGAAGCAGAGTAGCCATGACTCAAATCAGGACTACAATATAGGATGCAAGTGTCTCAAGCGGTGACTTAACTGCTGTGCCAAATATTTGCCCCTTTATTGAACAATTTGATAGAACCCTTGCTTCAGCCAAAAGGTTGGCTTTAATTTCCTCTATTTTCCCAATTTAAAAATATATATTTATTTATCTGAAAGACAGAGAGCTCCCACCTGCTGGATATTCTCCCCCACATGCCTGCAATACTCAGGGTTGGGCCAGAAAGAAACTGGGAGCTTGAAGCTAAATCAAGGTCTTACATAAGGGTGACAGGGACCCAACTACTTGAGCCTTATTGACTGTTCAAAAAGTTTTATTTTTATTTATTTCAAAGGCAGAGTTGTAGGGGGACAGATCTTTGATTCACTGGGTCACTCCCCGGATGGCCACAACAGCCAGGGATGGGCCAGGCTGAAGACAGGAGCCAGGAGCTTCATCTGTGTTTACCACACGGGTGGCAAGGGCCCTGGTACTTGAACCATCTTCTGCTGTTTTCCCAGATGCCTTAGCAGGGAGCTGGATTGGAAGTGGAGCAGCTGAGATTCGAACCAATGCCCATATATGATTCAGGTAACAGGCAGTGGCTTAACCCACTGTGCCACAATGCCGCCCCCACTCCCAATCCCGACACCTCAAATGAGGAGAGAAAGCTTCCATTTTCCTTGCTTGAAGACCTCAGGCAACCTCTGTCCAAAGTATTTAGCAAATGTGGCCACAGAATTCAGAAAAGGTTGTGAGTCAAACGTTTGATATTTGAAAAATTAAGGCAGGTTTAAGGAAGAAACAAAAGTTTCCTTGGTTTCAAAAGCATTTGAAACAATACCAAATATCCATGTCTAGGCAGAAACTTCTGTTGAATAGGGAGAAAGACTTCATTCTTGTTTCTTCAAGTGGTAGAGTTTCCAATTCATTCATATCTTCAATGCAGTAGGCAGAAATGCGAGCTACTAAGAGGCTGAGAAAATAGGGTATGAGAATGCGTTTAGTGGTTTGCTTGACAAGACAGGGATACGAAGAAATGCCAGCCAGCTGGCTATCCGACATGCGATTTCCAGGCTCATTATAAGCTATCTCCTGTTTGACATGGTATTTTCACTCTGTTTTGTTTTTGTTTCTTTTTTTTTTCCCTAGATTTGACCACTGCTCCAGCAATCTCTACATATTATCCACCTCGATCTCATTATGATATAAAGGAGAGTTTTCTTAGAAACATTCTCAGTTTCCGTCTCCATGCTACTGTGGGCTGCAGGAATAGTAAGGGGCTATGCAGTTGAAAGACATTTTCCAGGAGAGAGAACGTTGCTGCTGACATTCAAGTCTGCGAGTAGATATCCATTAAACACTCATTCTCCTCTTTCTCACCGCCCCCACCTCCCTTTCTTTCCATCTCTGTCACTAAGCTATCACCGAAGCTACTCATTAAACTCATGAAGATAACATTTCTGTTTTAACAGCTTACCTACAACAAGGGACTTCAAAATTGATTATCCATCTAAAATAGATGTGCTCCATTCATTATAGATCCACACATAGAGACTCTGCTACTATTACAAAGCTCCCTGAGTACAGAATAGATATATATTTAACTCTTAGGTGAGCATATATGTTGTGACCCTAGGGCAAATTTAAATTGTATATTTTACAAGTCTTGCAAATCACCAATTGTGTCTGACATCTCTGCCTACCTACCTCCATGTTAGACCTTTCTCTCTTGGGAATAAAAAGGAAAAAGACCATACCAGAAATGACATGGACATGCAATTTCTTGCAAGGGTCACAAAACAAGCTAATTCCTAGATTTTCCTGAGTGTTTTAAAAACCAGTGACAGGACAGGTGTTTTTGAATGGTGCTTAAGATGCTACCTGGAATGCTTGTATCCCATATCAGAGTGCTTGGATTTATTTTCAAAATAGATCTGCTCCTGATTCCAGGTTCCTGCTAAAGCACACCTTGGGAGACAGTAGATCAAATACTTGGGTCCCTGTCACCCATGTGAGAAATCCAGGTGGAGCTCCAGCCTCCTGGCTTCAGCTGGGCCTAGCCTTAGCTGTTGTGGGCATTTAGGAAGTAAACCATCACATGGGAGATCTCTATATCCCTGTCTCTGTGTCTCTGCACTTTTTAGATCAATGATTTTTTAAAATTAATGACAATGAAAATAATCTAAAATATTAAGCCAAGGAAACATGTGATGGAGATAAGATTATTAACAGCTGGGGGAAAAAAAGAAACACAATATATTTGAATGGAGGAAATAAGCTTGTAGTAACCACAATGATTTGAGGAAAATGGATCAATAACAATAACAAGCATCAGGTGTAGAAATGCTATGTCACTTCAAATGTCAATTATTTAACTCTTTGCTATACCCTCTTCAAGTTGCCGACAGCTCTCATTCACACTCTAGAGCTCTCTGGGTCTTTCCCTTATTTCACTCTTGCTGTCACCTTCATCTACAGTTCTTCATATAAAATGCAAACTCAACATTGTAAAGTAAAAATCGTAACCTCAACCCCTTTAATACATTCCAGTGGCTTTTTAAAAGAATAAGCTACAATGCATTGAATAGTGTACCTCCAATATGCACATCTAACTGGAATCTCAGAACATAACTGTGATGATTAATTTTATCTGTCAACCTGGCTGGGTCATAGGTTTGCTCAGGTATTTAGTCAAACATTTCCTTGGGTGTTTCTGTGAGGGTCGTTTTAGGCAAATTCAACACATTAATCTATAGGCTGGGGAAAGCACGCTGGCCTTCCTGATGTGGATGGGCTTCTGCCCATCAGGTAGAGGCCTGAGTAGAACCAAAGGCTGACTCCCCTCCAGGTAAGAGGGGAGTCCTCTCTTACCTCAGTTTTTTTCCTCCTGCCTTTAAACTGCTGGGTCTTCTTAGGTCTCTAACCTGCCAGTCAGGACTAGAAACTCACTATCGGCTCTCTTGGATGTCTAGCTGACCAACTGTAAACCCTGGAAGAGCTCAGCTCCATAAAAGCTTCCAATTCCTTATAATGAATCACATGCTGCTTGGATCTGTTTCTTTCAAGAATCCTGACTAATACAGCGACCTTATCAAGATGTAGGGTCTTCGGTCTGTTGTAATGAATGCTGATGATCACTTTATAATTTAAGTTTTGTCACTAATTTTGGTAACTTCCTCTATTATAAAAATTCTATATAAGTCAGAAGCAATATTTTCCCTCTTGAATAACCCATCATGGATTTTTACATATGTAATTATTCCCCCTAACATTTTCCTTAGTGACTAATCTAAACAAGTTACTATGTCTCCTTGATGTGGAGAAACCAAAAGTCCTTGTGGCCAATTATTCTCTCTTGGCCATACAGTTTTGGAATATATAATTTAGAAAAGCCAAGCACACTTGGTGGTTTTAAAGCTCTCTCCATGAGTCAGATCCTCCAGCTACACTGGAATGTTTTATTACCTTTTGCTGGTCCAATTCAAAGAAAGTAAGGCCTGAATAATACAGCATCTTGATTAGCCTCTTACTTGCGAGTAAGTTTTAACTGCCAACTCTTCTAAAGTTATCACCGAAGTTGGCAGAAGATAGATGGGAATTTTTTTTTTTTTTTTTTTTACAGGCAGAGTGGACAGTGAGAGAGAGACAGAGAGAGAAAGGTCTTCCTTTGCCGTTGGTTCACCCTCCAATGGCCGCCGCTGCAGCCGGCGCACCGCGCTGATCCGATGGCAGGAGCCAGGATCCAGGTGCTTTTCCTGGTCTCCCATGGGGTGCAGGGCCCAAGCACCTGGGCCATCCTCCACTGCACTCCCTGGCCATAGCAGAGAGCTGGCCTGGAAGAGGGGCAACCGGGACAGAATCTGGCGCCCCGACCGGGACTAGAACCCGGTGTGCCGGCGCCGCAAGGTGGAGGATTAGCCTATTGAGCCACGGCGCCGGCCCGATAGATGGGAATTTTTATCACAGCTGAAAAGTCAGCAGTGGACACGATGGACTAACAAGAACCAAATATCTTCTTCTATGTCCAGCAAACTAAAAAATATTTAGACAAAATGTATGCAACAAGAATTTGTACCAATTTAGCAAAAGTACAGGACAATGGTATTTGTTAGAAGGAAACACAGAAGCAGACAATTTTGTTAGCTTTCTGCCTGGGTTATTTCCTGCCATAGTCGATAGGGTAGGAAGTGAGCCAGGTGGAGGCCAGCAGCATCCCTAAGTTGAGAAGACAGGCAAGTGTCAGGGAAGGCCAGGGTAGCCAGAATCAGCAAAGCAGAGAACAGAGATGAGAGATCTTCACAGAAATACCAGGAAGGAGGCAGTGCCACGCTCGCCTCAGCACATCCGATGGGGAAACGTACTGAGGCCAAGGACACAATCACTGGAAAGGAGCAGGGAGACCAATCGCCAGAACTCACATTGGGATGAATGGGCTGGGTTTCCACCAGTCTGAGGCAGACTGGGGAAAAGCTGCTGTTAGGCTAACGCTGGATCTGCCCAAGGAGTTGCAAAAACAAACCCTGAAAGAATGAGACCATTTTCAAGTAACATGAGTTCACCCCAGAATAAAGAATTCATTATAGAAATCAGAAATATCCAGTGCCCAACAAGGAAAAACACTCTGCTGTGTGGCATTCAAGAAAAGATGATTGGGAAAGCAAACAAGCAGAAAAGCATAACCCATAATGAGAAAAACCAACCAAGAGAAACTGACGCCAGCAGCAGACAAGGACATTAAGTTACACTAACTTGCTTCCATGTGCTCAAGAAAGTAAAAAGAGAATAATCATGGTAAGAAGTGGCAATGGAAGATACTGTGAACAACAAAACCAGTAATGAGGAGTTTCTGACTCAAGCTCCTCACTCTCTGACAGTCATTAGATATTTAATCCCCTTTTAAACAAATACGGGGGCATCCTTGTTCTGTAAAATACCGCGTGAGTAGTTGTTGCCTGGTTTCAAAAACAGTCATTTTGTGTGTTAACTCCACAGAGGTGTTCACCTCAGACCTCAGCTGTATGGCCTAGGCAGTACTCCGCTACTTCAGACCTGCACACGTGTAGAGGCAAAGGGGACTGGAAATTTCCAAACATATCCTTACATGCCAACCCTCTCTGTCATTTTTCCTTCTTTCATGTTTAACAATGGGGCAAAAGTGTGAATTTTAATAATTAAATAATAGGAAGTCAAGGTTTCACTGACTGGGTTTGACATACGACCGATAGGACTTCTAACTTTTTTTTTAATTGTGGTAAAATATATGTAACTTAAAACTTTGCCACTGGCCATTTTTAAGGATGCAATTCATTGGCATTAATTGTATTCACAATGTTGTCTCCAATTGTTCAGTTTCCAAAATGTTTTTTCACCCCAAAAAGACCCCTAAGATCATTAAGCAACCCTTCCAACACACCCTTCCTATTCCTTATTCTATTCTACTTTCTGCCTCTCTCTATGCATTTGTTTAGTCTACATAACACACAAAAAAGTAGAGACATACAATATCTACTCTTTTATGTCTGCCATTCTTACCGTATTTTTAAGGTCTGTATCAGAAAGCCAATTCATTTTATGGCCAAATATATTCCATTGCATGTACAAGACAATTTCAAAAATTTATGGAAACAACTGAACCAATGAAACCAATTTTTAGAATGATGCCACAACTGCTAGGCTCAAACATGTGAACAGGAAGAGAGCATGAACTGTCATTCTGGGATCTTCACAGGGATCTAGAAGCAGGAGTGAGGGTGAAGCTGAGACCGGAGCCAAAGGCATGTGCATGTGGTCAAGTGGTTTTGCCTTTTTTTTTCTTTTTTTTGGGGGGGAGGGGGGGAACTTACATCGCTGAGCCTTTCCCGAGAGCTGCTCCGGTGGAAGCCCTTGGATTCTCCACTGGCGCTTTCGCTGTCACTGTCCCTGCAGCTGTTCTGCCCTGGCTTGAGCTAAATGAGAAAGAAAAGAATAAAAGGGAAAGTCAGTGGTCTCCTCACATAACTGTATCTTAGCTCTTGTTCTCTGAGACTTGTCAAGAGCAAGCAATTTCAGCTCCTGATCTTAAACATTCTCGTTGTGTGAATACTGCCCCAGAAGCCGCCACATGTTAGGTAGAACAGGCAAACCATCTACCATGAAATGTCAGTGTAGAGAGGAGTGTGAGCAAGCCTGAACTCAACACCTTGAACGCTGAAGCAAGTCCATGAACTAGGAAGTATTTTCCCATGGGTTTTTCTTTTTATGTTCTATTGTATTTTTTTTTAATAATAGAAAGACCAAAAACACTAAATAAACAAAAGCCAGATTATAGCAACTCTGTTTTCCTAATTTATTTCTTCTACCCTCCTTTCAACAAAATACATTAAAAACCCACGTTCCCTTTTCCCAAGAGAACACGATAAAATGCTGTGAAGTTATCTTTCAACCATCGGAAACACATTTAATGATCTTGCTTGTTGAGACAACATTCTGGAGATCTTTACCCAGATATTTAAAAATACCAATTAAGACAGACAGCTCCAGTAAGTTAAATTAGTACTCATTCAACACACTTACACACTTAGTGCCCCATTTGTGTTGGTACAAAGTGCTAGAGGCACAGTGATAAACAAAAAAAAAAAAAAAAAAAGAATGAACTTTTAAAGTTTCATTGTAGTTTCAACACATTTACCCAGCTCTGATTTTCTCATATGGGATGCTCTACACATGTATTCTGCACCGAATTTCCTTTAAAATTGAATAAACACACAGAATTGAAAACCAATGGTCTATATGAAACTCTAGGTCACACATATTCTCATATGGACAATTAGTTTATGACATCATTGCCAATCACATTTTCAGAGACACCAAGAAATGGAATGTAGAAAACTGCAGGCCAGTGCCGCGGCTCACTAAGCTAATCCGCCACCTTGCAGTGCCGGCACACCGGGTTCTAGTCCCGGTCAGGGTGCCGGATTCTGTCCCGGTTGCCCCTCTTCCAGGCCAGCTCTCTGCTGTGGCCCGGGAGTGCAGTGGAGGATGGCCCAAATGCTTGGGCCCTGCACCCCATGGGAGACCAGGAGAAGCACCTGGCTCCTGCCATTGGATCAGCGCGGTGTGCCAGCCGCAGCGGCCATTGGAGGGTGAACCAATGGCAAAGGAAGACCTTTCTCTCTCTCTCTCTCTCTCACTGTCCACTCTGCCTGTCAAAAAAATAATAAAAATAAAAAAAAGTAAGAAAACTGCAAGACAGAGCCCCATTGTAATATTCTCAGTCTAGCATGACAAAGATAGTGCAGGACAAGTAAATGTAACAAAACAAGGAAATACATGCCTAATGAAAACCAAAGAGTAGCCAGTGATGTTCACAAGGGAAATGATTTCTGAATACTTCTACTTTTTTAACTTTTATTTAATAAATATAAATTTCCAAAGTACAACTTTTGGATTATAGTAGCTTTTTCCCCCATAACCACCCTCCTACCTGCAACTATCCCATCTCCCACTCCCTCTCCTATCCCATTCTTCATCAATATTCATTTTCAATTATCTTTATATACAGAAGATCAATTTAGTATATACTAATTAAATATTCAACAGTTTGCACCCACACAGAAACACAAAGTATAAAGTACTGTTTGAGTACTACTTATACCGTTAATTCACATAGTAAAACACATTAAAGACAGAGATTCTACATGGGGAGTAAATGCACAGTGACTCTTGTTGTTGATTTAACAACTGACCCCTCTTATTTATGACATCGGTAATCACCTGAGGCTCTTGTCATGAGCTGCCAAGGCTATGGAAACCTCTTGAGTTCGCCAACTCTGATCTTATTTAGACAAGGCCATGGTCAAGATGGAAGTTCCCTCTTCCCTTCAGAGAAAGGTACCTCCTTCTTTGATGGCCCGTTCTTTCCACTGGGATCTCACTCGCAGAGATCTTTCATTTAGGCTTTTTTTTTTTTTTTCCCAGAGTGTCTTGGTTTTCCATCCCTGAAATACTCTCATGGGTTTTTTAGCCAGATCTGAATGCCTTAAGGGCTGATTCTGAGGCCAGAGTGCTGTTTAGGACATCTGCCATTCTATGAGTTTGCTGTGTATCCCACTTCCCATGTTGGATTGTTCTCTCCTTTTTAATTCTATCAGTTAGTATTAGCAGACACTAGTCTTGTTTATGTGATCCCTTTGACACTTAATCCTATCATTATGATGAATTATGAACTAAAACTGATCACTTTGACTAGTGAGATGGCACTGGTACATGCCACCTTGATGGGATTGAATTGGAATCCCCTGGCACATTTCTAACTCTACCATTAGCGGAAAGCCCAATTGAGCAAGTGCCGAACTGTACAACTCCTCCCTCTCTTATTCCCACTCTTATATTTAACAGGGATCACTTTTCAGTTAAATTTAAACACCTAAGAATAATTGTGTGTTAATTAAAGAGTTCTACCAATGGTATTAAGTAGAACAAAAAATACAAAAAGGAAAAAGTAGTAAGTTATTTCTCGACAGTCAGGACAAGGGCTGATCAAGTCATCGTTTCTCACAGTGTCCATTTCATATCAACAGGTTTTGAATACTTCTACTTTAAAAGAGAAATCAGCTCACGTGGCCAAGAGGACAAGGAAGCTACTCCTGATGTGGAAAGGCAGGAAAAGCAACATGCTAAGAAATGACCCAAAGTCTCGTCTGAAACACAGTCCCTTTGTGGATAAAACAGGAGACATTAGAGAGAGGAGTATATGGATGAGCACATAGAAAGTCTCAGGCAAAACAGAAGTGACACTTTGCTTACTTGGTAAAGTCCTGTTTTAAAAACAACAACACCACAAGTTCCATTTTTCAGGAGCCTCATATAACAGAACAGGCAACAGGTTAGCAAGTTTGTAAGTTTTCAAGTGGCCCTGATATCAAAGAAGACAATTGAACCAAGAGGAATGGAGAGTGAGCCTTTCAATGTGCCTCTTAGAAGACCATAGTTGAAGGGTGGGGATTTGGCACAGCAGGTAAGCTGCTGCATGGAACACCTGTATCCCGTACCAGTGCCCACTTTCAAGTTCAGGCTCTGCTGCAGGATTCAGGAAGCACCCCGAGAGGCAGCAGGTGATGGCTCATTTACTTGGACCCTTATGACCTATGTATGTGGGAGACCTGGATTGAGTTCCTGGCTTCTCACTTTGGCCTGACACAACCTCAGCAGTTATGGGCATTTGGTGAATGAATCAGCCAAAGAGAGATCTCTCTCTCTACCTTTCAAGTTCATAAAAATAAATATCTGTTTTTTTATAAAAAGACTACAGAGTCTAATTTTGGTCACACAATTCATTTTATCTCCCAAATCTCCAAAATGAGGCCAACTTATTTACCTTTCTGCAAATCCACTTTTACTACTTTCTTCTAAAATCCCTTTCTCCAGGAAAGCTGCTGTAATGGAGACCAGAAAATTGATGCTAATTTTACTCTGTATCTTCCCTAAGTCCTTAAGTACTTCATTTTCTCCTATGTTGAAGCTGAACCTACTAGTTCTAAATCAGATGCAAGCTGTATAAGCCTTTGCTTCTACTCTGGAATAAAAGTACAGAGTAATGTCTCTTCAGATGTTTACTTTTATACTTAAATACAGGTAGGACTTCTACTAAAATGACACCCCCCTCTCTTTCATTCTTGATCATGCTGTGGCCATTCCTGCCCTGGACTGTTTCACAGCTGCTTCTCTCCCTCTGGAATGTTCATCGTCACCTTCTCTGTGCTTCTGAGGTCAAGAGATTTTTAAAGGCTCAGTTCTTACCTCCTTCACTATGATTTTTGAAGACCTCTTTTTTCTTTCTATATTTATTGTTTCAAATATGCCTTCAAAACTTAGCCAGCATGTCATCCTTTGTTAAACACTTTTGATAGCTATGACACATTTTCAAGTTCAAAAGGCCTTTTGTTATAATATATTGTAATAAATATATTACCAATATATTGCCATATTGGTAATAAACTCTGTATGTGCAGGGGGGGCCCTCTAGTTCATAAGCAATCTTGTAACTTATATCCAACTACTTCTCTGAGTTATATAAGGATAGGTAGAACACTCTCCAATATACAAATAAAGAAAAAAAAAGAAAGTGATGTGCCCACCTAGGCAAAATATTTAGGACTAAACCCATGTTCTTTAACGCCTTTTGCTGTTTTAATTCTTAGTAACCATTTAAGATGCTTATATTTAACATAAAAGTAACAACTCTGCATATTTTAAGGTTCTCCATATATTTTAATACACTGGTGGCATCTGACCACATTCACAAAGAAAGGAATCTCATTAGGTAAACTTTGGTGAGGAGATGTTTTATGAAAAGTTTCTGAGGGCTGGTGTTGTGGCACAGTGGGCTAAGCTACCATTTGTGACACTGGCATCCCATTTGAGACCTGGCTGCTCTCACTTTCGATCTAGCTCTTTGCTATGAACCTGGTAGGTCAGTAGTGGATGGTCCCAGTGCTTGCGCACCTGCCACCCATGTGGGAAACCTAGATGGAGTTACTGGCTCCTAGCTTCAGAATGGCCATTGTGGCCATTTGGGGAGTGAAACAGTAGACAGAGGATGTCTCTCTCTCTGTGTCTCTCTAACTCTGCTTTCAAATAAATTAATCTTCAAAAGGAATAGAAAACTATATATATAAACTTATATAAAAGAAAAAATATAAACCCATAGAGAAAACTATATATATATATATATATATATATATATATATATAAAAGAAAACTATACACACACACACACAAACCTATATAAACCTAACTATATATATATATATAATCCCTGCAGTTTCTCAACTGAGAAACACATCCTGCTGGGAATTAGGTTATAAGAGTATCAGGGCTTTTCCTAATACCCAACTGCTTAACAAAACCTAGACATTGCACCTGGGGTTTTTCCATGCTTCCTGATGAAGGGAAACTGAAGATTCAG